TTTTTTTTTTTGTCTGCGTTTAGTGTGTTTTTTTAAAGATTGAGGATAAGGTAGTCAATTCCAGAAATGTCTCTTCAGGAAAACCACTTTCTAAGTGGCAGCGTTATGGGGTGGGGAGGGTGTGTAACCACACTCTGGTCCAGCCACAAGTGGTGATTTTTAAAGGAGCCCTAGCCCTTGCTCCCCCACATCTGTAGTGACCCCTCCTTATAAATAAGCTTTAAGCAATGAAGGAGACACCCTTGTCCCACATCGGGGCTCACACAGCTGACATCAATGAATCTGACAAGCAGAAAAGTGGCTTTCTTGACCCTTTAAGGAAGCCAAGAGTAGCTCATGCAGATGGACAGGGAGCAATGCCATTTCCGTCGGAGATGGTTACAAGTAGCTGGGATGGGTTTGCAAGGGCAGAAGAAGCTCTTGACGAGTTCTTTCACCCTGCAGATGGGCTGGGACCGGCTGACACAGACGATGGAGGAGGGCAGTGCTGGCGATAACTCCATTCCACTGGGAGGAGAGGGACGGTTGGATAAAAGGAGAAGGCGACTGTCCTAAAGCAGCTGGCCCCTCCCACCTGCTGAGGGCCAGAGAGTGTGGGGCTGTGGAGGTGGGCTGGACAAACACAGCCCTTAAAAGGTCATGGCCCTGCAGCAATAACAGCTGAGAGGAATGGAGGGAGAAGCAGCGCTTGAAATGGCCTTCATTCAGCCGTGGGGCAGGGGGTGGCTGGAACGGGTGGAAGGACAGAGCTCAGGAGGCCTTCTCCCTGCAGGGGGTTGAGAACGGTTGAGGGTGTGGCCACCAGGCATATAAAACAGCTTCTCCAGGGAGCTGCGATATGGTTTAGGGGCACCAAGCATCACTCTCCTATTCAGCCTTTCCAATGCCCCCCCACCCTAGATCTTCCCTGCTAGGCCCGGGGGTCCAGTCCCACATCTCCATACAGGACTGCTCACTGTATAAGCCAGGGATCCCTCTTTTTTGAAATGTAGCAACCTGGGCTCTAACGCCACTGCTGTTCTATCCTGACAGGTGCCTGCCTGGGAATAACTTTGTAGGTAATGGAGGATGTGGGTTGGATTTGTAAAGAGCCTCCAGCAAAGACCAAGACCATAAGTTTTGGGTCACTGGCGATCTATCACCCACCTTTCTCACCTGGTGCACTGAATCTTGGTCTTAAGTCCTTGTGTTTTCCTAGCACCTGAGTGAAAAGGGACTATAAATGCTGGGGAGCTATAAAACACCCAGGGTTGGGCCAGGACATGGAACAGGAGGTTGCATGAGGTCCCTGTAAACTGTGTCCCTTGGTGTTTTCCATTGTCTAAGGCTAAATCGTTTCCCCAGCCCCAAGTTTTAGCCACCTCACTGACGAAGGAGAAAGAGTAACTTGTTTGTGAAACAAAGGGATAATAAATACACGGCTGAAGGGAAAGGCTAAAGGTGTGACTGTGGGTGCAGCTGGGACTGTCTCCAGGTGTCAGGAGTGGGGACAGGGGAGAAGCAGCAGAGAAAGACAGGCAGACCAAGACGCAATTAGCTTCAGCACAAACATGAGAGAAAACAGAAGAGGAGGGAGGAGGGGTGGAGTACAGGTGAGAGGAAGGACGCAACAGAGAAGCCAGCTTTAAGGAGGAAGAATCCTAATGGAGAGAGAGGAGGTGTCGTTTAAAATTTGTCTCTGAGGCCAAACCACCAACAAAGACAAATATTGTGTATTTTTCTTGATACTGTTTTAGACTCAGTTCTTCTAGAACTTAATGCCTAAAACAGGGTGTCTCGCTTAACCAGCCCGTGTGCTTTTCCAGCCAGACACTGGAAAACGTGTAACTCTCGTGCTCCCTCCTTTACCGGGCCCAGCACCAGTCTCGGTGTTTGAGGGCACAGTCACTGTCCCATTGCCCTCTGTGGATCTCATTTCTCGTAGCCCCAGTTTGTACTGTCGCATGCTTTTAGCTGTGGTTTTATTTTTAAGGTGGCCTAAAGTCATTTTTGGAAGTAGACTGAGCATAAACTCTAAGTATAGAAATGTAGCTAGAGTGGACTAGTCTACAAGGAAATGAAAGAAGTGAAGGAGGGGCAGGATGAAGAAATGAGGGAAAGGGAGTAAAAGAGAAAGTGGGGACAGGCGAGTGTGACGTGTGGAATACAGCAGTCTGCGACGGGGACAGGCAGGAGCGTTTGGACAGTGAATGCAGCACAGACCAAAGGGTGGAGCTCTTGTCTCCACTTCTAGGCACTAATTCTTCCTGCAGGTGCCCAGCTTGGCCTACTTCTCTGCCCTCCGGTGACCTTCCTTTTCCCAGGAAGTCCTGACCTTACCCCAGGTCACCCCGGCTTCCAGGGAGGAATAAGTCCAAACTCGCCCCCTCCCAGGCCTAGCTCTGCAGCAGAGCCTGTCCTCAGAGAGTCTCTGCAGTCCCAGTGTGGGGACAGATTCAGAGGTAAGAAAGAGTTACCTGTGGCTCACCTGCACCCTCATTTTTCATGGAAACCTCCCCAGACCTCTTGAGTGAGGCACACGGCTTTGTTGTGGGACACAAGGAAAGGAGACAGATAATGGACAGCCATGGAGAAACCAAACTTACAAGGGACTTTCCAGGGAGGGCAGTGAAAATACCTCACCCCTGAACACACACACGCGTGCACACACACACTCTCTCTCTCTCTCACACACACATACACATAGGCACACACATACGCACACACGCTGTAGACAAGATGCTCCATGAATACCAGACAGGCCTGTGGGACAGAGGAAAAAGGAAGAAGGTGGTTGGTGGTGGTATCTGGGATGTGTGTGAGGTGGGTGTGTGTGATGATATAGAGAAAGGGTCATCATGGGTTACTGTCGTGGCTTCCCTCTGTGTCCACGCTCACCGGAGGGAGGCCTCCGTTGTCATTGAGCCGCTTGGCCCTGTAGGTCTCATAATGGATGTTGTGTGTCACTTCCTTGAGGTCCTGGAGGTGGGTCCTGAGGGACACAGGTGAAGAGAGAGAGGGATGGGATTAGGAGTGGGGGGAGGAAGAGATGACCCACATCCAAGGTTAACAGTTCACTTCCATGGCCTGGACCCAATGGGACCGACTCCAGAGCCACTGCTGCTTCTTCAGCCCTTGCGCTTCAGGATGGAAGCTGGAACTGGGGCAGAAAGCTCGTCAGAGAGACCTGGAGACTGAGGCAGTGGATCTGAACAGATGGCCTCCTGACCCCAAATCATTAAACCTGCCATCCGAGGGCAGGGGTTCATCTTACCTGATGACAAAGTCTCGCAGCAGGGCAAACTCACAGTGGTTGAGGTTTTCCACTGTGAATAAAACAAAATGAAACAAAACAAAAGAGGTGGTCATTTCACTAATGCAGCAACACGCAGCAGGTGCACTTCTGTTCAGCTCATGCAGGCAGTTGAGAGAGCGCCACAGGAAAGGTGACTGTGACCTGTCCAGGGGTTTGTGTATCTGGGCACTTCAGTGCACTGAATTTTCTTCATCGGACAAACATTTATTAAGCAGATACACTGGCACAATACTGTTCTAGACTCTGTGGAATAACAGCTGACAGGGACTATTACATGCCCCATTTTATAGAACAGAAAATGAGTGCACAGGGAGTCTAAGAAAGTTGCCCAAAGCCTAAAACACAATTCCTATCCTTAAACAGCTTATAATCAGATTGGAAAACAGTAACACATAGCAAATAACAACAGAGACATCTTAAAAAAGGTCATGCACTACATGATAAACCTAATTCAACATACATTGAGTGCCTACTATCTGTAAATCACTTGCCAAGGACTGTGGGAGCAGAAGTGGAATAAGACATGAACCCTGTCATCTCACAGTCTAACGGGCAAAGCAGGCGCCCTCACAAATGCTTCCAGTTCAAGGCAGGTGATGAAAAAATGCTATAACAATTCCATACAATATACAGACGGTGTATCATAGAGTTGGATCCCCAAAACCTATATAATCTTACCAACCAATGTCACCCAAATAAATTCAATTGAAAAAAAGAATTAAAAAAATTTTTTTCAACAAAAAGTCATAGGGAAATGAAATACAACATGATACAATGGGATAAACTTGGTTCTGGAATAAAAATATCCAGGTCTGAAATCCAAGTTTCACCACTAACAAGTCATGTGACGGGCAGGACACTGAACCTGTCTAAGGTTCGAGAGCTTCGGCAGCTGACCTCTGAAAGGTCACACCTCCCCTGCCGCCCTCGGAGGGTTATCACATTGAATGAGATCACCGAAGCAATTCTTCGAACACTTTCAGAATCCTTACGACCTTCTCAAGGTCACATCCATTCATAATAAACAGAAAATGGCAACATCTGAACAGCCCTTCAGCAGTTTGTCAGATCACATCCCTTTCGTGTGAAAGCCTTTCCCTGGCATCTCCAGTCCTTATTCATCTCTCCACATTCTCAGGACCTTTGACTCATGAGTCGCGCCTCCCAGACAGGTGCTAAATGGGTCTCTCATTGCTTCCAGCCTCGTGAGCCTCGTTTCTCAATTAGACAGGAAGCTCCGGAGGCAGGGTCTGCCTGGCGCTCCTTTTATATCTTACATCCTAGGGCAGTGGCTTGACCCAGAGGTGCTTAATAAATCAGCAGAGTTCGCCAGCAGCCAGTTCTTCAAATAGATGCATTGAATTACCTTCAATGATCCCCCAGGGAGTTTTTCTGCCGAGGACCCGCTTGCCATTCACTTGGTATTCCTTGTCGCTTCCCACCACGGCGAAGGGCATGCTCTCCTGCTGACAAACCAGACACGCGTGCAGGTCATCCTCTACAACCTGGGCCTTCGAGAGCAGGATGGTATCCAGTCCTCGGCCCCCAACCTTGAACTGCACATTTCTGAGGTTGACTCAGGGATCCCACTGATGGCAAGGGCAAGGCTCTTGTTTTTTAAAAAGAGTACTGCCCTGGCTGGTGTTGCTCAGTGGTTAAACTGAAGGGTCACAGGTTTGATTACTGGTCAAGGGCACGTATATACTTGGGTTGCTGGTTCCATCTCTGGCCTGGTCAGGTCACGTGCTGGAGGCAACCAATCGATGTCTCTCTCTCACATCAATGTCTGTCTCTCTCTTCCCCCCCTTCCACTCTCTCTAAAAATCAGTGGAAAAAATATCCTCCAGTGAGGATGAACAAAAAACAAAAAAAGAGAGAAGAGAGAGCACTGGACTGAGAGTCCCAAGTCCTGGATCCAACCCTGCCTGCACCCCGGCCTCACTGGTCAGCCTCTGTAAGTCACTTTCCTTCAACAGGAGAATGCTTCGGACTTTTCAGAGCACTTTCCACATTTGGTTTGATCTGGAACAACTCTGAGCTAGCCTAGCAAGGATGGACAGACAGCTCTTAAATGATACCCACCCAACTGACAGTTGAAGTAACAGGCTTCACACCGCCTCCCATGAAACCTATGGGCAGAGGCCTGTGTCCGCTGACCTGTCAGGGCCGGAAGGCCACTTTCTGGCACATGTAGGCCCCTCTGCTTCACCATGTGGGTCGTATGTTCACCAAGAGCCAGCTATTTGTTCCCAAATGTATTTGCCTGATGTGTGCTTGTTGTTGTAATTGGGTAAATTCACTATTATATAAGCTGAGGACATATGAGAGCAGAGAGCTGTTTCTCTGCAAATGAAGTTGAATGTTTCAGAAAAACTTGATAGAGGTGAGTTGCTTTTGCATGAAGAGTGAACTCAGTCTCCAAGGAGAGGCCTTGTTTCTACATGAAAAGAATGTTTAATGGATGTTCTGTGTATGTTTTAAGTTATTTTAACTTAATAATTTAGTAAAATAATTATTTAAAAACATTTTTAAATTAACCAACAACCTGTCTCCACTGCAACAGATAAAGGGATTCTTTACTTGCCAGAGGAGGCCCAAGACCTAAGCAAGTGAGTGGTTTGCCCCGGGTCACAGTGGGTTAGTAGAAAAGGCCAGACGAGAACTCGGGACTCTGCGGTGGAATCTCAGGGTTGCAGAGGTTTGGAATTGAGAGGGCTCTTAGAAATCACACAGGCTGATGGTTTATAAGCCAGGTTCCACGAAGCCCTAAGCTTCCCAGGAGATACCCTGGGGCCTGCTGAGAAGGCAGGGCTCTGTGCCCATGTCGCTTAGCCAAAGCAGCTCAGTTTTTATGTTTTATATATTGGAGTTATATATTGGACATTTAATTTCTTTAAAGGGTTCTTCTAGAGAACAAACAAACAACCTATAAGCCACTCACCTAGTCTGACCTCTGCATTTTATACAGGGGAAACTGAGGCAGAGTTCTGGCCAGAGCATAGGCACCTTGGACCCCAGCCTGTTGTTTTTCCCGCCTGTGCCCTTCCAACACCCCATACCCTAGCTTTGCTGAGCCCTGTGGGAGGAAGAAGAGGCTTTTGTGTGTCCTGGGGATGGACAGGAGTGTGGGCTAAGGGTGCAGGGTTCACAGTCCTGGCCAGGGCCCCCAGTCCTGATCCTCTCCCATGTCACTGCTGGCCGGGGTCAGGCAGGGTGGGGGAGGGAGTGCAGAAGGGAGAGCAGGTGGGGAGCCAGGAGCAGCACGTGGACACCTACCGCAGGCGCCAAGGGGGCTTCTGTGTGAACGGAGCCCCAGGCACTCACCCGGATTTTGTCATTCTCCGTCTTGTCCTCCAAATCCTCATCAAATTCCTTCTGGGGGTAGAATTCAATGCCGTGCACTTCAAGCTCCTTGCGGACCTGGGGGTGAGAAAGAATCAAGGTGGCCGGGGTCAGGATACTGGGAGGGGTGTGTGTGTGTGTGCACGCATGCATGTGTGTTTGCATGTGCATGTGCGTGTGTGCATGTATGCGCATGTGTGCGCGCGTGCATGTGCATGTGTGTGTGCGCGCACGTGCACTGAAGTCAGAGGGCTGAAGCAGCCTTGAGAATCCACAGGCAGCTCTGAGCTCTGAGGCCCTGGGCAGCAGGATGATCCTGAGTAAGTGTGACCCCAGTCGTACAATTACCCGAGCCCGGAGCCGGGCCTGAAATGAGGAACAGCCCGGGGGTGCAGCTCGCTCATCTCGGGGCCTGTGGGGTTCGGATTTTGACAAGCAGCACCGCCGGGTACAGATGGCACATGGGCCGCGCTCATGCCGCTACATGTCATATTCCCGTTGGCAGGGAAGGGGGGTGAGCCCCCCGGCCCAAGCCTCTCTGCTTGCCCTCTTTCAAAGCTCGGCTTAAGTCTCACCTCCGGGACGCTGTCCAGAACCTCTTCGGTGGTCTACTGGGAGGCAGCAACTGCCTTTATACTTCTCTCGCGTGCCCCCCCCCTCCCCTCCCCTCACGCTGAGGAGGGGTGCCCGGTTCGTGGCGATTATGTACTCCGTGGTCTTTAGGGGCGAGTTTGGCGGGTGGGAGGAAGGCAGCCTGAGGGGCACGACCTTCTCGCCAGTGGCCCCAGACACTGCCAGTGCAGCCGGGTGGGAAGGGGGTACAATAATGAGGGATGGGGGGGCCTGGACCAGAGGGGGGGCAGGCGGGACCGGGACAGGAGGGGCTGTCTCACCCTTTGCTTGAACTCGGCCTTCTCCTCCAGGGTCATGGTGTCGGCCTTAGCGATCACTGGGATGATGTTCACGACTTTGCTGAGGTGCTTCATGAACTCCAGGTCCAGAGGTCGCAAGCTGGGCCCAGAGCAGGAGTGTCAGACCCGCCTTGCCCTCCCCCGCTCAGCCGCGGCCACCACTCAGGGGCCACCCTTGGGACGGGAAGCCTGGGAACCTGGCTGAGGCCAAGAGGCTGCTCTCCCCGGACACATCCGCCATCTCACCGTGTGCAGAGCGGGCCCTGACTCAGCCCACACGGTGCACCACCTCCCCTTCTCTCCACGTCCTGCCCCTCTCTAAGCCCCACTCACGCCCTCACGGCGTCTTTTCTGACCTGGAACAGCTATGGACTGTCACCCACCCATATGTCCTTGCGTCATGGTTACTCGTGCGTATCTTGCTCTGACAGGCCTCCTCTCAGCCCACTTAGCCCCGCAGGGGTCCAGCTGGGAAGTCTGCCCTTCCCCGTCTAAGGGCCCAGCTGCCCCCAGGCTCTGGGACCCCAATCTGGCTCTAGTTTGTAGTCCAGGGGACTTACTAAGTCAGGCTGTCTGCTGCCTTACAGACCTCGAGTCCAGGTTCTAGGGAGAGAGAAAGCTAACTATTGAGTTTCTGGGCCCCATCATTGTACCTGCTGAGTACCCTGTTCCTCCAAAATTTGGGGTCTGCCTCTCAAGAACTGAACTCTGGCCCGGCAGGCAGGCTTAGTAATAAGGGATGAGACCGCCCCAATAGGAAGGCTGTCTGCTTCCCACGTGGATCCCTCCACCCTCCGCCTGCACTCCCTTCGGGCAGCCCACCTGCCGCTCGCAGCCAGAGCTCCCAGCGTGCCCTGCTTGTCGCCCGCCTTCACTTCTCCCGCCTCATGCTGGACTGGCCACCCTCCAAACGCCTACAGCTGGGGGCCACACGCCGCCCAGAACACCAGCCCCTTCCAGAAGCCTTGCCCCCACCCCAGCCTGGTGCAAAGCAGGTGTCTACTGAACAAGCAAGGAGCCCTCTGCCCACCCCCCCACTTCTCTCCACAGGCACAACTGGGCCATGGCGCCAGAACACCAGCGGGCAGCATGGGGGCTGAGCCCGCTCAGCTCAGCTCTACTCCCCCGGCAAGGAAGCCAGCCGTTCTTGGGGAAAGCGTGGGGGCTCCCAGGGCCCCGACTGTACTGGGGCCCCCCGGCCCTCCCAGCTGAGTCCCGGTATTGGTTATCGACCACAGAATGGGCGCAGGTGGTGCAAGCCAGAGCCAGGCCCCGCAGCGGGGGGTTGGTACGTACGAGTGGCCCGTGGGGGAGATGAAGTAGAGGCAGCAATGGACGCGCGTGTCGGGGATGCGCTTCTTCCTGGCGATGTTCACCTCCTCCTTCAGGAACTTCTCGTACTGCTCATTGATGTACTTCTCAATGGGCTCCCAGCTGGGGGGGGGAGCCGGGGATGCCCCGGGGACAGGACCTGGGAGCTCAGCTTAGGCACGGCCCCTTGCACCCAGCCCGTTTCCTCCCTCCCCTGGGGGGTCCAGGGAGCCTGCAGACCATTCTCCCCCGGCACCCCGAGGGCCTTCCTTGTTGGCAAGGCCACAGCTCCTGTGGGGACCTAGCCCTCCCACCGGGCTGCGGAGCCTGCAGAGCCCCGACGCGCCCCAGAAAGCAACGCACACCTCCCGGCTCCCCACTCAGCTGGGAGGCCCTGGAGGAGGCTCTGCCCCTTTCTCAGGCTCAGTTTTCTCATGACTAAAATGGGAGTAATAGTAGGTGACCGGCAGGATGCACGTGGGATCAGAAAGAAGAGATGCTCGATGCTCAGTACTGAACACAGCAATGGCACGCAGAAAGTACTCAGTCATGGCAACGACTCGTCATCACGACTATTGTCATTGTCATCGTTACTCTTCTCCATCAAGGAGCATGAGTATAACCAGAGAAGAGGGCATCCGGTCACTTTTCCAAGATTGTTCCAAGCTGTCTTGTTCGGTGGCCCTGCCTGTCGTGGCAGACCCCAGCTCCCTCACGGAAGCACCGTGGTCTCCATCCCCATCGGAAAGCAAACTTCTGCCTGGAACCTTCCATCTATGCTCGGGGCAGCGCATTCGCCCCCTTCTTGGAGGCTCGCTGACGCCAGCTTTGCTCTGCGGAATCCCAGAGGCTCTCTCCTCAAGGCAACTCCCTTCCGTCCCATTTCTCCCTCGTCCGCCCTTGGTCCAGGCCAAGCTGTCTGCTGGCATCCTCAGGCCAGCCTGGATTTGTACCCCAAGTCCCCTTGTTCTGTCTGCCCTGCTCCACTGCCACCTCCAGCAATCTCTCACCCAAAATTCCCTCTGCACTGTCCCCCCACCCCACGCCCAGCCCCCACCTGGCCCTCTTCCCTCGCGTCCTTACAACCCCCTCTCCCATCTGTCAGGAGGATCCCGAACCCTCAGCATGGAGCGTGGAAGGTTCTCAATGTGAATGAATCTGCGCCACACTCAGTACCCTCCGCGAAGTCTTTAGGGCAGAAACCTCACAGGCAGACACATACCAGTTTTCATTGTTGATCTGGTCTCCAAAGCCAGGGGTGTCGATGACGGTCAGCTTCATTTTGACACCGCCTTCCTCTATCACTGGGGGGTGAACACAAAAGGCGCCAAGAAGGTAACTTTTCCAGCTGATGTCAGGTGCCCTGCGGCCTACCAGCCAGGGAGACCCAGGCTCCTTCCTTCCTCAGGACGAGTTATTGCAGGGGACTGCTGTCCCCTGCAGCTAGAATGACCTCCCTACTTCTTTCTGCCTGTGTGCATCCCGCCAGGCTTTATGGTCCAGCTCAAGCCCCATTCCTTTCCTTTCTAATT